GGAAGCTGTGAGCAGAGGAGGGAACCCTACCCCCGGCCTTGGCTTCCCAGCCTCCTCCCCAGGTTTTCAATTAACGCCAGCGCCCTGCTGGTTTTATGGGCCCTCAGAGCCACACAAAGCCATCCTAGAGAAGCCTCCTACACAAGTAAATAAGATGGGGTTTAGGCCAGGACCCAGGCCTTCTGACGCCCAGAGCTTTTTCTAAGACCCTGCAATGGCTTCTGACGTCTCTGCTTGGATTACACCTTCCTCAAGGCTCATTTTCAGCCCCTGATACTCTTAGGCTCCCCCAACTAGAAGTGGGAGCCTGCTGGAGGGGGGACCCAGGTCTGCGCCCCACACACGCTGGCACTGCATGGAGCCAGGTGGGAGGGGAAGAAGGGACATGGGGCCTCACCTTAGCCAGCTGGTCCCCCTCACGCCAGAGGCAGAAGCCTGAGCAGAGGGTCTCCCCACGTCTGTACTCCGGAGTCTCACGGTGTGTGGGCAGCGTGACGGACCTCAGCGCAATGACATAGGGGTCTCTGGAGCAGAGAGAGGGCCGGAAAGGGACAGGGACCAGCACAGAAGGCGGTGAAGGCCTTTTCTGCCAGCCAAGGCTGGGCCCTGCCCCTGCTCCTGCCCCAGGACCCCAGCACTGCCTGCCTCACAGGGGCTGTCACCCACAGAACCTGGCCCAGGGCCAGGCTGGAGAGCAGAGGCACCGGAACTGGCAGGAGTCGGCCAGTCCTCTGCGGACTGTCTGGGAGAGCCCTCCACTGGGCCCCGTGGGGGGAAGCACTGTGTGCCCTGGGATTCTTTTCTGGCATCTGTCTGTCCCTGTCCCCAGCAGAAATGGTGCATCCGCCTGGCTCGCATCTTCCAGTCAAAGTAAGGCTCTCAGAGGACAGAGGCTGAGGAAGGATGTCCTGTCTGTGGCCTGGGGCACCCAGGGCATGAGTGACCGGAGGGGAAGGGCGTGCCCTATAAAGCCATGGGGGCCCAGAAAAGGATGCCTGGAGTCCACAGCCAATGAGCAGCAGAGCTCTGACTCTAGGCTGGCGCCCTTTCCCTGGGGAAGGAGAGGGGTCCTCCCACCACATTGTATCCCACAGCGGGCAGACACCCACCCATTGTCACAAGGCTTCCGCCGTGAGGCCAGGATCACAAAGTCCTGGGACTTGGCATCGCCACCCAGGGCAGGGCTGATGACGTGATAGATGGCGTCGTCCTCATCCACCTGCTGCACCAGCTCCACGCTCCTGCAGGGGTTCAGAGCTCAGCCCGGCCCTCCCGTGCTGCAGCCTCTCTGAGCAGCTCCTGCGGTGGACACTTTGTCCCCTGAGTGCTCAGCAGGGATGAGGAGGAGGGCAAGAAGTCCCTGCCTAGAAAGACACACGGGCACACACCCAGGCACAGAGACAGGCACACAGACACACAAAAACACACATCAACATGAACACGAGCAAACACACACACCCAGGCACACACACACAGAGGCATGTCTAGACATGCACACAGGCCATGTGCAGATACACACAGACACACAGCAAAGGTGCGCACACGCAGGTAGATAGACACGCACAGAAGCAAAGGCACCTACACACGCACAGACACGCACAAGTGGATGCGTGCACACAGAGACACAGATGCACACAAGCAAATGCATGCACACAGACACACAGCACACACAGACACACACTCAAGGCAATGTGCACACATGTGGGTGTATATGCACAGGTCAGGGGCAGGCACAGGTGCACACAGCCCACACAGCTGAGTGGTGACTGGTAGCTGTGCAATGCCCTGTTAGTGCCAGGTGCTGCACCAATGCGTCACACGTTTTGATGTGCTGTCTTGCTTTATCTCCACAGCAGCCCTAGGAGACAGGCACTAGGTAGCCCCATTTTATAGACGGGGGTGCTGTGACTCAGAGAAACGACCTGCCCATGGCCACAGAGCTAACGAGGTAGCAGGGCTGGGATATGCTCATGCCATCGGGTGGCTAAGCTGTGCTGCAGGCCCGGGCACATATGCACCAGGTGCACACACATGGACTTACATACACCAACACATGCACACATCAAGGACATCCATGCAGATACACACGAGTTCGTCCAGACCCACCGCCTTCTCCCCCTTCTCCCACCACACTCGGAGGTTGCCCAGGGAGCAGGGTAGGCGGAAGCAGGCTAGGGGCTCCCTTTCCCCCCAGGGCACTGCCCACCCCAAACCCCATCAAGTACTGAAATTTGATCTAGCCTTCAAGGCGCTTCAAGACAAAAAGCCTCCCCACTCCCTCACCCCAACTTCCACCACCATATCACCTCTCGGGTTCTATCGGGTCATCATCAATAGAAAGACAGAAAAATACCTCCTGCCTTTCCCGATGACCAACAGAGTGGCACCGCCAGCAGGCCTGGGCCACCCAGTCCTAGGCCTTCTCTCTTTTCTTTTTTAAGAGGCTTTTGTCCTAGTACACGTGTGGTTGCCAGAGAGCGAAAGTAAGAATCCACCCTGGGGTGGGGGCACGCCGCAACCCCTCCTCCTCCGTCCTCCTCCCAGGATTTTGAGCACACATGCACACGCACGTGCCTGGCATGAGTTTCAAACAATTGGGTCCAGGACTCAAACCACAGTCGGCCATGTAGGAGTCCAGTGACATAACCACTACAACATCTGCTGGCCCCCAGACCTGGGCCTTCTAAAGCAACACAGCTCATTGGCCAAAAAAAAAAAAAAAACCATTGGCCAAAAAAAAAAAAAAAAAAAAGAAAGAAAGAAAAAGAAAAAACCTTCCACAGGAAGCCTGGGTATAAACGGCTCCAAGAGGCCTTCTGGTGAAGACAGATCAGGTAGGAAGGAGAAAGCTGCTTTGTCAAAAATCAACTCGCCAGGGCTGGCAGGTGGCATGGTGGTTAAAGGTGCTAGACTCCCACGTGGCTGACCATGGTTTGAGTCCCGGACTTAGTAGCTTGCTCACGTTCCCCTCTCTCTCTCTCTCTCTCTCTCTCTCTTTCTCTCTCTCTCTTACTCTGTCCCTCTGTGGTCAAATTAAAATAAATAAATAAAGTTAAATAAAATAATTATTTTACAAAAATTTTGACAAGTGACTGGGTCACAAATTTCCAAATGCAGAGATGTCTTTATAAAAACAGAAGTGCTGGCCCCTCGTGACGAGCCACTGGAGAAATCAAGAACCCCCTTGAAGCTAGGGTGCTGCCATAATTGCAAATGACTTTAAGAGGACTTGAAGAAAGACCAGTTTAAACTTTAACACTCCCATATGAAAGACTGAAACTTTGGCTATTTTCCAAAAATCAAATTTACCTTCTTGACTAACTTCAAGAAGAGATTCCTATGAAGAATCAGTGAATTTGGGGACTAACTGTATTGAAAAGAATAACATGTTAATATTCAGAGTCATTACTATATTCAAAGATAACATATTCACAGGGACCAGCAGGTGGTGTGGTGGTTAAAGTGCTGGACTCCCACATGGCCAACCATAGTTTGAGTCCTGGATCTGGTGACTTGAAAATCATGCTGGGTGCATGTATGTATGTCCCTAACATCCCAGGAGGAAAATGGAGGAGAAGGGATTGTGATGTGGCCATCCCCCCTTGAGGGGGTGATTTCTCACTTTCCCTCTCACTGTCTCCCTCCAGCCAGTACACATGCCTGATAGCAAAAACCTAAAACAATAATATATATATATATATATACATTCATAAGGAGAACCAGCAAACTTGGTAAATTCAGTAAACTGATCATTCAATTGTTAGCCTGAACCTGGGAGGGCCCCCCAACCCTCCAATTTTCGATCCCACCCCAAAAGATTCCTGAGTCCCCTTTGGGAATATAGAACTCTGCCGAATGTGTTTGAAAATCACTAAATTGGGGCCAGCAGGTAGCATAATGCTTAAGGCACTGGACTCTTACACGGTCAACTGCAGTTCAAGTCCCAAACCTGGCAGCTTGAAAATCATGCTGGGCACATATGCATGTGTGCCCAAAATCCAAGAGGAGGCTGAAGGAAAAGGGATTGCAGCATGGCCATCCCCACTTGGGGGTGGTTTTTCACTTTCCCTTTCTCTGGTAAGTACATGTACCCTATGGCAAAAACTAAAAACAAAAAAAAAAAATTCACTTGATTTATCCCTGAGTTCAAATCCATGACCCATCCCTTAAGCACTCGTTTTAAGATAAGGGACACAGGTCCCAGAAGAAAGTGACCTGCCTAATGCCACACACTAGTTGGGACACCAACAAGCTAAAGCCCAGGCCTCCCACTCCCATTCCAAGCTCAGCCCCTTCCCATGACCCTGACCCCACCTGCCCGGCCAGCAGGGGCAGAGCTTAGTGGGGGAGGCTCAGTGGAGGAGACTCCCTGCCTCACCCAGGGAGGGAGCCCGCTCACCGCCCGTCCACCCCGGCCCTCACCGGTAGTGCTTGTCCCACTCTGGCCTCCGAAGCAGGTCCGAGAGCAGCAGGAAGGCCTGGGCTGCATCCACGTGCACCACCATCTCCATATGGAAGGAGAGGAACTTGTCCTCCTCCAGAGTGTACAGGCGGACCTGTGGGGCAGAGGGGCCTCGTCACGGCTCCCCTCCCCAGCCCATGCCGGCAGCCAGGCCTGGGAGCTCAGAGCTGCCACCGATTTGCTGTGTGACTGTGAACAGGCAACTCAGCCTCTCTGAGTCTCAGTTGCATCTCCATGAGAAAGCGCTGCTGGGAAAATTCATAATGAGGAATGAGAAGGTCCCTTATGAAGCAGTGACTAAGGCAACAGGGGGATCCTCAGAGCCAGGTGCCTAACCAACCTCAGTGTCACGGGGGAAAGAGACTTGTCCAAGCGCACAGGCCGGAGGCACAGAGCTCAAGGCTTTCAGTAGTTTATGCCAACCCACCGTGCCCACCCCTGCAGAGACTCCCTGCAGAAGGGCACAGAGGCAGGGAGAAGGCAGCTGGGCAGGGCAGCAGACAGGAGACCTCTGGGCAGGAGAGGATTCCAGGGTTCTCCACTCCAGGCCCCATGGGGGCAGGCTGGTTTCCATAACTGGGTTAGTTTCATGATCTCACCCAGCTCCTTTTAAGAAATACACCTTTTGGGGCAAGCAGGTGGTGTGGAGGTTAAGGCGTTGGAGACTCTGCCTTGAAAATCACGCTGGGCACATGTGTGTGCATGCCCAAAATCCCGAGAGGAAACTAGAGAAGGGACTGCAGTATGGCTATCCCCCCTGGGAAGTGATTTCTCATTTTTTCCTCTCTCTCTCTCTCTCTCTCTCTCTTTCTCTCTCTCTCTCTGGAGAGCCATGTGCACACTATAGCAAGAAAAAAGGAAAAAGCGGGAACCAGCAGTTAGCGTAATGGCTATGTCGCTGGACTCCCACGTAGTCAACCGTGGTTCGTGTCCCGGACCCGGTGGCTTAAAACTCACGCCGGGCGCGTGCGCGTGCGTGCCCAAGATCCCGAGAGGAGAATGGAGGAGAAGGGATTGCGATGTGGCCATCCCTCCTGGGGGGGGTGATTTCTCGCTTTCTGTCTCTCTGTCTCTCTCTGTCTGTCTGGCGAGTGCACGCGCCCTACAGTGAAAATCTCTCAAAAAAAAAAAAAAGGAAAAAGCTAAATTCCTTTTTTTCTGTAGAGTTGTTTGCCTTAGGGCATGTGCACTCACCAGAGAGAGAGAAAGACAGAGACAGTGAAAGGGAAAGTGAGAAATCATCCCCCAGAGGGATGGCCATCCCACAATCCTTTCTTCTTTTGGGCACACACGCACACATGCCCAGCATGAGTTTCAAATTACCGGGTCCGGTATACTCAGACAGCAGTCAGCCATGTGACAGTCTAGCGACGTAACTGCTACCCCATCTGCTGCTCCCTCCTTTTTATAGAACATGTGTAGATGTGACAGAGAAAGAGGAACACCCTCCAGGGAGCTCAGTCACACTGTAACAGCTTGCCTCCAGCCTCCAGCCCACCAGGATCCTGGGCCTGCACCTGGCATATGTTTAGGCTGGGCAGGCAAGGGACCCAAACTGCAGAGGACACGTAGCTTCCAGTGCCAGAGTTCAACGCGTTACACCAGAGGATGAACCAAGAATCTACTTTTGATGTAGGTGGTTTAAGAGTTTCTGTTACGGGGCCAGCAGGTGGCATGGTGGTTAAAGTGGTGGAATTCCCACATGGCTGGCCATGGTTTGAGTCCTGGACCTGGCAGCTTGCTTTCTCACTCTCCCTCTCTCTCTATCTTTCTCTGGCAAAACTCATGTGAAAAATAATGTTAAAAATAATAATAAATAAATCTTTTAAAAAAAAAAGTTTCTGTTGCTGGGGCCACAGGTTGCTTAGTGGTTAGGGCGTTGGACTCCCATATGGCTGACCATGGTTTGAGTCTCAGACCTGGCAGCTTGCTCTCTCTCTCTCTCTCTCTCACTCTGTTCCTCACTGGTCAAACTAAAATAAATAAGTTAAATAAAATAATTCTTTTTTAAAAAAAGTTTCTATTGCTTGCCATTAGCCAGCTCTGGTTGCTCAGAGGAGAAAGGAAAGGCGGACGATGCACTCACTGACCTGATTGATTTCCGAGGACAGCACCCAGTTGTCCTTGGCCACCAGCATCTTCAGGGAGGAGACGTTGTTGTAGCTCAGGTACACCTAAAGGGCACAGAGACACTGGCCCCCTGCTTCCTCGGGGCCCCCGTGCCGCAGTCACGCTGGTGAGCGGGAGAGACACCAGGCCCACCGAGGGATGCAGGTGCTATGGGAAAAGCCCTGGGCTTTGGGAAGGAGGTCCAGGCTTCTAGACCCACTGCGTGACCCTAGACAGGCCAGTCTACCTTTCAAGGTTTCCGCCCCCTCCTGCCAAACGGATGATCCCTTTGCTAACTGAAACAACTGGAGACATGGCCTCCGCGTCCTGTCCCCTCCAGGCCTTCCTCCAGACACACTCGGACAAGCAGGAGAGGGCGGTAGGACTCCAGGAGCCTAGAATAGACTCCTTGCAGAGGGCCTTACCTGGTTGCTAGGGTCCCAGGGCACGGAGAGGGGCATTTCCGCCTGCTTGCAGGACACAATGTACTTCCTGGGAGGGAGGGAAGTGGACAATCTGGGTCCCTGGGAAGTCTGTCACTTTCAGCAGACTTTGCTGCAGGCCTACTGTGTGGCAGGCTGAGTCCAGCAGGGTGGGAAGCCCAGGTCTGGGTAGGAGCCTGGATGGACACACAGGAAGCAGCACCTGGGAGCGCACCACCTGCGCCAGGTGCACTGAAGGGAGCCCAGAGTGCAGGAACAAGCCGGGACGGAGGACTGCAGGGTGTAAGCGACTTCCCCCTTAGGCCTCGGTGTCCTCTCTGGGAAAGGGGGTCAGTACTCACACCTGCCCCCAGGAGAGCAGCATGTGGCACGTGGCAGATGCTCTAATTGCACCCTTTCCTGATGAGCCCCAGCTGGGAGCCCCACCGAGTTTACAGCCTCTCAGGTTGGAGAAGTGCTTTTGCGGCAGGGTCCAACAAGCCTTTGCTTCTTAAGTAACTGCCTCCTCTCTTTGAGCCTCTCTTTCTTCATCTGCCAATGGGCACCAGAGTCCATGGAAGAAGGACAGGATTTAAAACTCTGGTTTTCAGCTCTGGGTCTATAGCCACCTGTGTGTTCGCAGACACACCCCAACCCATCTGCCCTGAGAGTCCCCACCTGTATAACAGGCCACAGACCACGGTGTAGCGGGGCCAAAACAAGAGGCTGCTTGGGTACTGAAGGGACCAGCCCCGTGCCCAGCCCCTGGCAGCCCCAGAAAGGTGAGCACCTTGGGTCGGTGAAGCAGCGGGCAGCCCTGCCCCTGCCTCTCCCACCCCCCAGCCCCACTCACCTGTCCAGGCGGATCTTCCTCCTGGCACTGGCCTCTCGGTAGCGCCGCTCACCATCCTGGGGAGGAAGCAAGGACAGTGGTTTGGGAGGACAGCCAGCTAACCCCACCCCCATCCCTGCCTCTCATCCCTGTCCCCCACCTGCCCCGAGGACCCCCAGAGGCTCTGTAGCCCCAAAGTAACGTTCAAATCCCACCGGGGCCTCTTGGCCAAGAAAGTGCTGGGGAACAGGGCTGCAGCCCCAGCTGTCCTCAGGCTCTCCAGGTGACCTTGGGAGCACCACCTCCGGTGACCAGACCTCAGTTTGCCCCCCTGTAAGATGGGGATCCTTAGAGGGTATTTCTGATGGCAGCAGAGCCCCAGGGCTGGCACTCTCCCCACGTGCTCCCATGGGAAGTTTCACCCAGCCCTTACCACACCCTCTGAGGCTGCGACTAGCACGTGCCCCATCTTACAGAGGGCATAGGGGCACAGGCAGCTCAATGGCTTGCCCGAGGTCGTAGGGCTCAGGGGCGGAGCCGGGATGGAAGCCCACCCTCTTTTCTTAACACCTCTACTGTCAACCCTGCTTGAACCCCAGAGGGCAGGTGGCTGCAGCTCCCATCTCCTGGCCCACACCCTCCTCCCACCCACACGGCTGCGCAGTGCCCCACTGCAGAGCAGTGGGTTCTCTGCAGCCTGTGCTCGGTCCAGTGAGGCAGGGGCCCTGTGAGAAGCAGGGAACAGCATCTCCTAGGTAGGCTGCCGCCCATCCCACTGTAGGTACGAGGGAGATGGCCTGTGAACTCAGGCCCCTGACTTCTGTCCCATGCCCTTCCCTCTCCTGTCACCCTCATCCTGACAGTCCGCACTCACTGAGAGTTTCCAGGGCTTAGCCAGGCAGTGGGTCCCCCAAATACCCACCCACATAGCCTGTGAGCCAAGAGCCGCAGACACGCCCACTGTACGGAGGGGGACTGAGCTCACTCGAGTGGGGCAGAGGTGAGCTGGCAGCCACATAGACCCCAAGCCAGTGCTCCCCCACCTCTGCAGGCTTGTGCAGCCATTAACACCCAGCTGTGAGCCAGACCCGCACACGTCCTGAGTTCTGTCACCAGAGCAAGATGCCACCTCACACAAGGAGCATCGCAGAGTCACTCAGAGCTGGCTGTGCCCCAACAGAGGGGCCGGGCTGGGCCTGCCAGGGGGCCAAGAGTGAGGAGAAGATGGCTGGGGCGGGCAGGGCGCTGCCCACTCACCCCTGGCTGGGGCCGAATCCGGGGCAACATCTGGGGCTGGTCATCCACGTCCAAGACCATGAAGGTCATGAAGGCGCTGTTGATGTGCCGCCGATGGGTCTCGGCCTCCTGGCGATAGGCCTCCACGCACACGCCCACCTCCATGCTGTGCAGAGGGAGAGCTGCTTCGATGGTGCACTGACCTTCCAAGGTCATGCCCCTCCCCAACAGCCACGTGTATATGCACACATATGTACAGACAGGTACTGCACACACATACATGCACACATGTGCACACACAGGTGACACACACAGACACGCACGCACACTTCTGTACCACCTGGGTCACAGTCCAGGTTTATCACCGGCAGGAAACCTAGACCCGTCCCTGCCAGCTGCACTTACGGGCATCTACTGTGCGTCCAGCCCGACAGGGACCCAGAAACAAGCAAGTCTGTCCCGCCCAGGCCTCAGGGGCTCACAGCACACAAGGAAGCAAAGTGTGAGTGCGCTACCAACCGCAATGGCTACAGAAGGGCGTGAGCAAGGGGCACGGAGGGGACGCCAGACTAGAAAAATGGCCAGCGCCCATAAGTTCAGAGGCCCCGTGTGGGACAGCTGCTCTCCTCACAGCTCAGGGGCTGCTACATCATCTACCTGTGTCAGCGGTAAAAGCCGCCCCCATTCTCCCTAGTTTAGGAAGTTCCACGGTGGCAGGATTTGGGTGTGATGCAGATGGGGAAGCCAATATACCAGGGCGATGATTCACCCAAGGCGACGTCACCAATCAGGAAGAGGGTCTGGCCTAGAACTGGGCTTACAGCCCTGGGAAAGGGCTCTCCCTGCGTACGGAGGTGGGTGCTAGTTGACCTGCACAAAGCCGCGGTCACCGTAACAAACAGCAGCGATGTCTTCTTCGTTTACCTCAACGGAGCAAGCTCTCGGGCATTCTTTTTTTTGGTAAGGTTTTTGTCATAGGGTGCATGTACTTGCAGAAAGAGGCAGGGAATGACAGAGTGGGAACGTGAGACATCAACCTCCCCTGCAAGGGAGATGGCCACACCACAATCCCTTCTCCTCCATTCTCCTCTTGGGATTTTGAGCACACAGACACACATGTGCCCAGCATGGTTTCAAGCTACTGGACCTGGGACTCGAACTGCAGAGTCAGCATGGGGGATCCAGCACCTTACCTGCTGGCCCTGTGGCATTCTGCTAGCAACGCTAGAACTGTAACACTAGAACGCCCAGCCCAGCCCCTCACTGAATCCTCACATGAGCTGGCCGTGGTGATCCCCATTTTACAGGCGAAAGAGCAGAGGCTCAGAGGGGTTAAGTAACTTGCCCAAGGTCACACAGCTAGTAGGAGGTGGAGCCAAGCTTAAAACCAGGCAGCCTGGCTCCAGAGCCCTCACTTTTCACACTCTTGTTTTGTTTCATTTATTTATTTTGAATTTGCTATAGGGCACGTATGCTCACTGGAGAGAGAGAGGGAAAGTGAGAAGTCAGGGAGGATGACTGCACCCTGACCCTTCTCCCCCATGCTCCTCTCAGGGTTCGGCCACTTGTGCACATATGCCTAGCATGGTTTTCAAGCCACCCAGGCCGGGACTCAAGTTGCAGTTGACCAAGTGGGAACCGGTCACTCAACCACCAGGCTACCAGACGGCTCTTTATTTTATTTTATTTATTTTATTTTTTTTTTGGAGAGGTTTTTGCTATAAGGCACGTGCGCTCGCCAGACAGACAGAGAGAGACATAGAGACAGAAAGCGAGAAATCACCCCCCGGGGGAGATGGTCACGCCACAATCCCTTCTCCTCCATTCTTCTCTCGGGATCTTGGGCACACGCACACGCGCCCGGCGTGAGTTTTAAGCCACCAGGTCTGGGACACGAACCGTGGTCGACTACGTGGGAGTCCAGCAACATAGCCATTACACTAAGTGCTGGTTCCCGGCTCTTTATTTTAATGATTCCACTATGATCTCTGAAACCACCGGAAGATACTTACTGAAAGTAAGCTTTCACGGGAACAGGCACCAGAATTCACTCTACGGGTAAGGATCTGGGTATTAGCTGTTTGGGGAAATGGTGGGACACGGTTTGAAAAGACGAATTATGGGACCAGCAGTTAGTATAATGGCTATGTCGCTGGACTCCCACGTAGTCGACTGTGGTTCGCGTCCCGAACCCGGTAGCTTAAAACTCACGCGGGGCGCATGTGCATGCGTGCCCAAGATCCCGAGAGGAGAACGGAGAAGGGATTGTGGCGTGGCCATCCCCCCTGGGGGGTGATTTCTCACTTTCTGTCTCTCTGTCTCTGTCTGCCTGGCGAGCGCACATGCCCTATAGCAAAAACCTCTCCAAAAAAAAAAAAAGATGAATTACCAGGACTTGGCCCTGTGATCTGAGCGTCAGCAGATGCTGGGCCCAGAGCCGGGAGAGACAGAGACACACCGAGCCCGTGATACATGCTGGGAGGGACTAGCTGGGGGAGCTCAGACCAGGGGTCCCTGGCCCAGCTGGGGTGGGCAGGAGGGGAGCCAAAGAAGGCTTGCAGAGAAGGGAAGATCAGATCTGAGCGTGGGTGTCAGTGGAAGCATCCGGGCGGAGTTAGACCCCACACGAGGGCAAAGGGCTCAGGCAGGCTCGCAGGAGGGTTCTCTCTAGGGTCAGGAAGAGCCATCGGCCCTGGGTGGCCCCAGCCCCACCCAATCCAGCTCCTCACCTGTGCTTGAAGGCATTGTTCACGATGGCCTTGAGCACCAGTCGGTCCCCCACCTGGGACGGGCCTCGGAAGTGGAACATCTCAATGGCCTTCAGGGTAGGGTGGGCACGGCAGAACCGGCTAAGGAGGCAGGAGAAATGTCCCCAGTGCTTAAGCTACTGGCTTGGACCAGCCTTCTTCCCAACCCGTCTCCTGGAACCACCCACTGCCACCCAACCAAGTGACGGTTCTGCTCAGAGGCACAGAACTAGGGTCCCGTTCCACACCTTAGAATACGGAGGTCTCTGTGCATGGCTGGAAAGAGCTGAACTTGAGGTGGTAGAGTAAACTGCTTCCCCATTTTCCTTGCCACTTTCACACCTTAGCTTCTGCTGTTCCCTCTACCTGCAAGCCCTCCTTTGCCTAAAGCTACTTGTTATTCAAGGCTCCTCCTCCAGGAAGCCTCCCCTGACCACCCAGGCTCTCATCTTCCTCTGAGATCTTACATCCACAGCTGGACTGCCCCAAGCGGCACTGCAGTGCACTATCTCCCACAGGCCGAACACAGAGGAGGGGCCACCTAGCCAGGCTCTGAGGATGGCAAGGATCACCTGCCTGAGGAGGGCGCAGGTCCAGGAGGGCATGCCCAGCAGAGGGCACAGTCCCGGAGAGGTGTGAGAGGGTCAGTTAGCTCATGGCAGTGGTCACACCTAGGAAAACTACCCTGCCACGTTGGGTGCATGGAGCCCAGACAGGTGCAGACCGTAGGAGAAGGAAGGAATTATTTTCACCTCTGCTTCCTGGAGGAGGTGGGTGGATTTAGCAGATACAGTGAAGGACACATAGGGGGTGGCTACA